AAGATCCTAGGAGAAGTCTAACTTTTCCTTTGTCTTACATATGTCAGTAGTACCCAGACCTGTATAGAACCACACCAGTGGAGTTCAGGAAACAACTTTTGGAAATCAAAAGAGGAGATAATATTCATGTATGCGTTTATTCCAGGGCATCATACTGCTATTAGAGTTCTCCCATGGCTTAGATAAAGTATCATTTATTTTTTGCTAAATCTGAAAGTGCACAAACACAGACACATAATTCGGATCCTTTGCTTAGGGAATGTCCTATTTTTCTATTTATAATCATATCCTATGGTTCTACCCTGAAAATTGCAGGTGTTGTTATTTTTTACAAAGGCAATGTTCAAATAATATATGAAAATTATAGATCAGCTAAATTCATTTCCTGTTGTGTAGTTGAGAACAGTACCAAAATAACATCATAAAAATTACCACCTGATGGTAAAGACAAGAGACAGACTGGATATATTTAGTCATGTTACTGACTAAATAATTAAGACAAAATGAGATACAATTTTATGTAATATTAGTTTAATTTTTATTTGCATAGACCCCAACATCAAATATCTACACTGGTGACATTTTAGCCTATGATGTCTATAGGAAAGATTCTCCAATTAATAAGATACATTTACACATAGAATATTGGAAGTTGTATATGTTTAGAGAACTCCCAAAATGTTTTCATATTGATTTTCTTTAGGTATGGTACCTGAGATTATATATCCACATATGTTTAGGATGAATCATGATACTACTAAAAATTGTATAATGTATCTTAAATTAGGCATAGATTCTATGCCAAGTGAACAGTGAAAGGCAGCTAGTGTAAATAAGTTTTGAGGTGGGTACTGATAGCCCATGCCTATAATTCTAGCTACTTGGGAGGTAAGATCAGGAGGCTTATGGTTCAAGGCCAGCCTCGGAAAATAGTTCATGAGACCCTCATTTCCAAAATAACTGCAGCAAAAATGGATAGAGGTATGGCACAAATAGTAGTGCAACTGCTTTGCAAGTGTGAGTTCAAACCTCAGTCCGACAAATAAAAAGCCTTAAAACAAAGATTTTCATTTAATTTAAAGCTTTGTCATTTAACTTAGAAAATCCCCTACATAATTATAGGCTGACTTTTGAGAATGAAAAATAACTTAGGACATTTAGGCCACTCTCCCATTTGTGCAAAATCCCCTTCCATACTACCCATAAAATATGCCCATTTAGTATGCTTTGAATGTTTTCTGTGATGGGAATCTCCGAACACCAGGGGAGATTCACTTCAGTCTTAAACACCTGAAATTGTATAAAAGTTACTTTATATAGTGATTAGCCAGTCTGCCTCCATAATACATCAAGCCCTCTAGAATGACATAGATCACACACTTTCACATGTGTGCCTTTTTAAAAAAGCATTGCCTCCTAAGTGTTCTAAGAACCCCCGTAGAGCCCAGAGACTTCCACTTGTTGTTGGCAGCTGAAACAAAGGTATCTGACTCAACTCCATTATGACATGAAGATTAAATGCATGCAGAGAAATAGGAGAAAAATCTGGAACACTGACCTGCAATATTTGACAGTGCTGTGCCAGAGGAACCAAGAAGACACACCGTGTAAATTGAGATAGTATTCAAGGAATTTGTCTGTAAAAAAAATAATAAATAATGTCAGTCTAACCCTGGCTATGTGAGCTACAACATCAGTAAGGACAATAAAATGATTTCTAGAACTGCTGTGCCTGGAGACCTAGAGATAAAGAAAGCCACACAAAGTAAAATACTGTCATTAGATAGGAGTTTCTACCTTTAACATCAACACTCTTCGTCCATACTGTGGACAACACACTTAGAAAGGAGCTTGAACAATGCTGAGTGAAGACCCTGAAAAATTTGCTTCACAAAACATGAGAAAAAAACCTCACAGAGGAAAGTGCCCCTACTGGTACTGGCCACAGTCTTAGGGTCTTCTTATCCCTAGATCACTGAGCTATGAACCACCCCACCAGTCTAAAATGTTATAGGATAATTCTAATAATTCCATGTCAAACTGAGGAAAAATTACAAGACTCTACTTGTCCACTTTTAGGATAAATGCCAAGAGTAGGAGAAATTACCACCATTAAGGATGAACAAAAAGAAAAAGACAACTAAGTAAAGATTCTATAACAACAAAAAGGCACAGCTCTTAAGAAGTAAAGGAAGTGTATGCTTTTTTTTAAGGGAAATTATAAATATTAAGTAGCACATCTGTTTTAAATGTTTGGTAAAATTCACCAAAATATGGTCTCTACTAAAAAGGGAAGATGGTGATATAACTATCTGCAATCAAAGGAGAAATGGTTGAGATAAAGGAAACTCTTTGAACAACAGCAGATACAGGAAATGAACAATAATTTTTAAAGTGTAAAATAAGGATGACATAATTTTCAATACATTAGGTTGAAAACTAAAAATATTAAAACTCACTCTGAAAGCAGAAGAATGAGGGAAAAACAAGAAAAAGAAAATTAGTAGGTAAGAATAACCAAAATTAAGCAAATAAAATCAGGTACAAAAATGCAGATAATTTATTTTCCTTAAAAAGAACTAAAAGCAAAAACAGAATCCATAATCATAACATCATAGATTAAGACATGGGGTTGGCCAACTGTCAGGAAAATTTAATGAGAAACAATTTATGAAACGATCCTAGTTGAAATCTTGAACACAAAAAACCTATGTTTCCATAAATTAAAATCTGCCAATACATAAAGGATGAAAAATTTGTCTGATCTCAGATTTATACCCTGCTCATTTGCAGAATACATAGCAATATCTTTACAGTTGGAGAGTTTAAGTAATTGTTACTTACCTGTGAAGGCAATTTTAAGATAAGTTGGGTTGTTTAAGAATGCAAAAATTATTTTCCCCGAATTATTCAAGAACTTATTCAAATCAATCAAGAAATGAATCCACACGGAGGTGGAAAGAATACTGAGGGGTGAAGGGTATCAAAGTACATTGAGAAAGAGAAAGAGGTATAGACATATATCAACCATTATACGTATGTATGTAAATTAATATTTAAAACTAGCTAGAATGATCCTATTGTCCAATCCAATGCTGGCAGGTAGCAGGGGGTAAACTACTCCTGTCTTCATAATCAATTGTATTGCAAAGGGACAAATTAACGCAGGAAACTCAAGCTTATCAATTTATGGAACTCAGACAACTTTGTTTCTCATAGTGTCTACTTTTCTTCCCTGGGGCAACCTTTCTTGAAATGTACTTAGAAGGGAATGCTGTGAATTTAAGGGAGAAATTTAATTCTCCAATTTAATATTTGAAAAATATTACCCCTGTCAACACAATTTTAAGAGATGCATATGGGGTAGTCACCTGCCTATAAAAATGTTTTTAAATTTTTAACTGACAGATACAAAAACAAATTCCTTACAGATAGGCTGAAGTTCTGGCTAGCAATCAGTGCTTTCTCTTTTTAAACTTCCATGAAGGCATGAATACTGTTACTTTCACTATTCCTCAAAATGGAACTTACGAAACTATGTTCAACTTATCTAAAGAGTATATGTCTTAAGTATGAGAACATTTTGAAAATGGTGTTTTATCACTTATCCATAGAACAATTATCACTATCTAATTCTAAGTAAAACACAACAGCTTTAAAAATTATTGCTGTTTGCTTTTTAAAAATTCTTAAAAATATACATGTACATACATTTACACAGGGAGGAGAGATAAATAAAGAGAAATAAAATGCCTTCACATATGGTTATATAGAAAATATGAGTTATTATTTTGAGTTTTTAAAATCACAAATATTAATATATAAAATCAGTTAATTAAATTTCAAATTTATTCTATTCTAGGTGTAAGTTTTTTTCCTAGTGTATGATGTTTTACTTTATGTGATGTTTTACTATGGCAATGGTGGGAGTACAGTAAGTACTCAAGAAAGCAGAAACGAAATTCACTTAAAACCTAGGCCAACGGCAGCATGGCGTTTATCCGCATAGCTCACATGTGAAATCTTCCATTACCATCATCTTTTTTCACATGTGCCCTTGTCTTTTTCTCCTCTCCTGCTCTTGATGTAATCTAGTTGTGGCTTCCTCCCATGATAAAACAAGACAAATATCTTCTGCCCTTGTTTATGTTAATGGATTACCAAGCAGTGCTATCTCCTACTTTTGATTTCTTAACAGATTCCGACAGTGTGGCTTCATTTGCAGTACTGATGGTTCAAAATGTTGACCCATACTTCATTGCAGCTTTCCCACTAGAACTTGATAACCAGGCCCAGAGACAATTTGGATTATTGGGCCGACATCGCATACCTTGAAAGTCTTACCTTAGGAGAGAGTTCTGTACATTTAGAGGCCATGTGCCTAGAGTTGAATACTGCTACTCCCAACACCCAGCCCCTACCAAAGGTGCAACACACACACACCACACACACACACCCCAATCCATCAATTTAAGGACCTAGTTTCCTGGGAATTAGGGCTGTCTTCTACATCTTCCCCCAGGTGCTAATGCACTCTGTGCACATCGTGAGCAATCAGAAATGTGTGGAGTATTATTGAGCGTCAACAATCACTTGCGGCTTCCTGATCAAAATGATTAATTACCAGAGGATACTTTAGCACCCGGAGCCCAAACTGTACCTGGGCTAACAAACATTTCACCAGCCTTGCCTACGAGCAAACAACAGAAGAAACGCAATAAATCTGAAAGCTCTGCCTTTGGCCTCCAGCTTTCAAGCCTGCCCCTCGGTTATTACAAACACTCCTCAGCCAAGAACGTCACTTTCACTATGCAGCAGAGGCTGGTGCCAGCTACAGAGCCCGCACCTGCCCGCACCCTGGTCACCAGCTCTGGTTTCCGGGACGCCGCGGGGTCCAACCACCGTCACATGGCAACAACGCCGCGCGCGCTTTGTCATGGAGACCCGCGGGCGCCTCGGAAAGCCTCCGGAGAGGCCGCGTCTGCGGGCGCCCGGTCAGGATGCTTCGCCGAGGCCTTAGGGCCTCGGAAAGGCGAAGACACCTGAGTGACAGCCTCCGCTGGCATCAGGACCAGGCGCTGAGCAGCAGCATCTACCTCCTACGGGAGATGGGCCCCACCGGCTTCCTGCTGAGGGAGGAGGAGCCAGAGCAACGGGATTTCCGAGTAACGACCGCCCGGTTCTCGGGGGCGGGGCGGCGGAGCGGGGGGAGGCGCCCCGCAGGACGCGCTGGTTCCGCCGGGGCCACCAGGACTTCAAATTGCATCCCACTCTTATAAGATGATGGCCCTTGATGGTTGACCCCAAAATGTCCGAGGTTCTATATGAATATTTGGATTGCATTCACTAGCCCTGTAAATCAAGCAAAATGGAAAACCTACACTCTGATGACATATTGTAAATATTTGCTAAAATAATCACACTAAAAGTGTAACAAGGCTCAGCCGGGTGCCGGTGGCTCAAACATGTAATCCTAGCTACTCAGGAGGCAGAGATAAGGAGGGTTATGGTTTGAAACTAGCCTTGGCAAATTGTTCCTGAGATTCTATCAGGAAACAACCTTTCACAAAAAAAGAGCTGGTGGAGTGTCTCAAGGTGTAGGCCCTGAGTTCAAACCCCAGTACTAAAAAAAGGAAAAGAAAAAAGAAGAAAGTTTCACAAGACTCCATCAAAGGTTTGGTTAAGTGGTGATGCCTTGGAAAAGTCCTGATGAATAAAACTCTTTTTATTTTGGTAAAAGACATATTATATTCACATATCCCATTTTCGCCAGTCCAAAACCAGCCACCATACCACCACCTCCCACAAGTTGGCTTAGAAAACTTACATTTACAGCCATATATTAAAGTGCTAAATATAGTTTACTAGTCGTTTAGAAAACATTAATTTAGTAAGCCGTTTTGAACAGTATAGTCTTGGTTGAGTAAAAGTAGTCCTCTTGAATTAAATTTCAAATGCAAAAACGAACGTCCAAAGTGAGCCACCTTACAAAAGATTTAGCTCAATTCCGGGGTAGAATTTTCTTAAGACATTGATCATTTGGGGTCCAGAGGAGAGGGTAGTTGTTAAACTTAGATTTATTTTCGTTTGAGCACATATGACTTAAAAACTACCTTAATTCATAATGGAAGATAATTAACCACTGCAAAGAATAAGGAAGTGAGAAATCAATCTGGAGGGTGGTATCAAGAATAGTAACTTTGGAAGGAACATCAGGGGACAGAGAGAGTATTTTCCAGTAGATCCTGGTCAATAACAGACTTAGTTTGGAGTCACCTAACACAAATGACCTCTTTCAATCCCTTTCAATCAATTTACATATCAACCTAATTTTCGTCCTAACTTTAAAAATTAACTGGCATTTTTTAAGTATGCATTTTCTTTTAAAGGTGCTTCTAGGAAATCCTCACGCTTGTAACTGTTCCACATTTTTGAAAGGAAGGGAACTTTGTAAGCATATATGCTGGTAAGTGACTTTTTAATGATGAAATTTGATGTTGGAAGAATGTGAAGTTAAAGTGGCCATACCATACCAATATATTTTTGGTGTTTTATTTCATTCTGAAAACTGAGAAAGGTTTAAACTGAAAAACATTTAATAATCATGTTTTTAAATAGAAAAATCAATTTCTACATTCTCATTGAGTGTACAAATGTGAAATCTAACTATGAAACTGAAAAAAATTCCCATCAGTGATAACTATGTGATTCACTTTAAGACATTACTGTGCTTCCACAACTTTCTCTTAAAAAGCACATTTTCTTGAAAATCAAGTGTTCTCTTTCCCATGTTTAGATATGGGAATTAAAAGTTTTTACCCTTTTCATATTGGTTTGTACTTGTCCAATCTCACAAATTTTTCCTTTTCAGTGAACATTTGACTATGAATATTTCAAGACAGAAGTTAGGAATGTATTGAATATTATTTCTCCCAAATCTGAAATCTTCCCTCATGTCTATATCAATCTTTTTAGAGGGTAATTGATACCCAGAAATGTCTTTCTATTTGGTTAAACCCAACTCACTTCATTTCATCTTGCCTACCTATAATTACATCAACAATTCATTAAATATACTATTATAAATAATTAATAATTTACATTTGAAGGGAAAAATGAAACAAGAATTAAGGAAAAAGTATATGTAGTATTTCTAATGCTTTTCTTTGCAGGTTAAAAAAATCACTGTGTATCCTTTTTTCTAATACCTTTACTTATGAAATACTTTGCTGCTTCATTTTGGCACGTTTCTTGACTATCTGTTAATAAAGGTTATTTGGTCTAGTTGACATAAAGATAAAACTATGGTTCTTGTGAAACTAGCAGTGTGATTATGCTTATAGTAGATTTTCCCATTTTTATTTTATATCAAGGCAAGTTCATTCGGATTTTAATGTAATGTACTTAGTTTTGTGTAGTAAGCATAAACTAAATGGAAATATAATTCAAGTATTTAATGTACTAAGGTATATTTAATGTTTTAAAAACATTTAATATGTATTTACTGCTTTTAAAAGACACATTTCTTTTAAAAAATGAAGTATTTCCTCTATTATACATTGAGATGTGGAAGATGGAGAAAAACAGGCACTTGCTACCCTATCCGGAAAATTACTTCATTTGCAGGGAAATTTAAAGGAAATGCCATAATATCCTAAATTCCCTCACTATCCTCTCTTTGAAGGACTGTATGTCATGAGAAATACATGACTCTCTCTGATAAATCCCTTTATTACATGTCTTCTGTTTCCATTAATCGTACTTCTTTCACATATGCTCATTTTTAAATATAAGTCTAACTACACATAACAGAAATTGATGAGTGTTAAGTTTATTCATAACACTTCAACAATGTAAATCCTTGAATGCTATTTCTATTCTAAGGGTTTTTTTTAAATATCTTTTGAAGTTATCAAAAATGTTTTAATTTTTTCTACTTGTGAATATTAGGGTCTTGTTGAAAAAATTCAAGCTTCCAAGGAATCATGAATGTAAGTTTGAGGGTTTGTATTTTTATTTTGACTAATTTGAACTTAACAAATATAAGATTTTTATGTAAACATAGTCTAAATTTTGATGCTTATTTTTCCAAAGACTCTTATAACAATCTGTATCCCGGTTTGCTATTCTTTAAAAACTTGGAACATTTTTCTTCTTCAATAAAAAAATGTAATTTTATATGCCACTTTCAAAGTCAAAGGCACTTAATAAAAACACAGGCATAAAACAATGGTCAGTAATTTAGTTGAAAATAATTCCCTCATATCTGAAGCAAAGATTCAGAGCAAATGTAGTTTTTATGTCAGTAATTACATTGATTTTAGAGTTAGGCATATATTTACAACATTAAGTTCCAGAGTCTTCAAAAATCAGGGAGAAAGTAAAACAGTTTTATCATAGGTCATTTAAATTTGTATATTTTATATCAAGGATACTGTCATTATGAAAATGTTACCTGCATTTGAAAAGTTGTTTAGCCTATAGTAGACCCATTTAAGAACTGAATTGAAAAAAATTTTTTTTTCATTTTTCTTTTATTATTCATATGTGCATACAAGGCTTGGTTCATTTCTCCCCCCTTGAATTGAAAAATTTATTACTAAATGTTCATAATATTCATAAAGAAAGTGGTAGCCAATTTTTCAATTTTTCTCAATTCAAAGATTCTGTTTAGTCACGTTCATTCCTCCTAACTGTTGTATAAACATTTTTTAAAGTTATACTGAGTATATTAGTGCTTCACAGTGATTTTCCTTTACTTCTCACCCTCTACATATTCTTTAAGAAATGTCTTCCTATTTGATATCTCTAATTTTTAATTCCATATTATTTTATTCCCACATTTTGTCAATAAACCAGTGTTTCCAGTTGCCTTCTGGACAGCTCAATTGAGAGGCTCCGCAGGCATTTTATTTTATTTTATTTTATTTTATTTTTTATTGTTTTATTAGTCATATGTGCATACAATGCTTGGGTCATTTCTCCCCCCTGCCCCCACCCCCTCCCTTACCACCCACTCCACCCCCTCCCTCTTCCTCCCACCCCCTCAATACCCGGCAGAAACTATTTTGCCCTTATTTCTAATTTTGTTGTAGAGAGAGTATAAGCAATAATAGGAAGGAACAAGGGTTTTTGCTGGTTGAGATAAGGATAGCTATACAGGGAGTTGACTCACATTAATTTCCTGTGCGTGTGCGTTACCTTCTAGGTTAATTCTTTTTGATCTAACCTTTTCTCTAGTTCCTGGTCCCCTTTTCCTATTGGCCTCAGTTGATTTTAAGGTATCTGCTTTAGTTTCTCTCCACAGGCATTTTAAAAGTCAGATTTCTCCCATTTCTGCTCTCCTCTTACATTCCCTGTGTCACAAACTGACATCCCTTTTTATCTCCTTTCCAAAGCTAGAAACCTTGGAATTCTAGATTTTTCCTCTCCCTTCCAAGTCTCCTATACATCTAGTCACAGCCATTCTACAAATCCTGTTTATTCTACACCCTGAAGAAGTGTTCCCACCTCTCACTTTCTCACTATTGTTCAACCTTCTGAAGCCCTTTTCTATACAGCCTTGTTGTTTCCATGCCTGCACTTTGTGCTTCCTCCTTTATACCCTACACAAAGGGTCCTTTCTAAAATGTCATCCTCTCCTTAATCCTCTCTTCCAGTCTCTTCATGCTTGACTAATTTGTGTAATTTCATACATGTCTTCTTTTCCATTTGATCCATATGAAGTTAAATGTTGACCCCACTGCTTCAAAGTCTAAGGTATTCTTAGTATTGTTTATTCATATCATTTTCACAAGTTTCTGTATTTATTTAGGCTACCCAATAGAACTATAAGCCATGAATATAATTTTCTAGTAGCAATTTTATAAGAATTAAAAAGAAATTAGGAAAATAATTTTCATGGTTTAACTTAACCCAGCTCATCGAAATATCAGCATGTCAACTAAAATCAGTATAAAAATTATGAGCTATTTTACCTTTGTTTTCATACCGTCTTCAAATGTAGTATGTATGTTACACTTACTGCCATTATGAAAATGTTATTTCATCTCTGCTCAGACATTATATTTTCATTGGAAACATTTGATCCACATAAAGATTTTTTTTTAATTTTCTGTTGAAAAATAGACTCACAGAATACCTAAATTATTCTAACATACCTATAACTTTTTCAGTAACTATAGATAATCAACTATAAATTTAAATTAAGCAAATTAAAAATTCAGCTTTTTAAATCACTTTAGCTAAATCCAGTTGTACAGCAGCTGCGTGTGGCTAATGGCTACTATATCAGATGGTATTACTCTATCCAATTAAATTCAGATTTTATTGTGTTTCATATTAGTGAGGAGCATTAAGTGCTTTTTATAAATTGAATTGTGTAAATTGCTAATATTTGCATGTTTCTCATCTATAAAACAAATTTCTTATAGATCAATGTAGTCTTTTATGTTACATTTTCCTTTCTTTCTTGAAGTCAAAACCATTCTTTTTATATGTAGGGAATGCTTTAAATGCTTCACATTAATCCCATATGTTAATTTTGAAACTTTGTATTTTCCTACTAAAATTGATTTCTCGTATCTTCTATGTTTAACAGAAGTGTCAACATTGAGAAAATCCTATGTGCACAATTTATAGACAGTATGATTATGCGCAGTGTATTCAAAGAAAGTAGACATTAAAATTTATCATTTAAATGAAAACTGGAGCAAATATATATGAAAATAAAATCAAAGAAAGCTATAAACAGTTACTCATTAAGATTAAGCACAGTATGTAAGTGTAGAGGAAGAATTTTTTAACATTATTCAGACATTCTTTTCTAAAAGGAATCTGGGAACAAGAGTTTACACTGTCGGGGGGAGATGGTGGGGGCGGGGGACAGAGGGAGAAATGACCCAAACAATGTATGCACATGTGAATTACCGAATTTAAAAAAAAAAGAAAAGAAACCTAAGACTCTCTTTCTGAAGACCTATGAAGATGATGATTTCATTATGAGAATATCAGTTTTTAAGGCTAGAGATGTGACTCAAGTGTTACAGTGCTTGCCTAGCAAAAGCAAGGCCCTGAGTTCAACCTCAATATTGCCAAAAAACAAACAGATAAATCTATGAAGATGGGAATATCAGGTTTTAAAGACTGGAAACATTCTTTTTTCTACAAATGTATTCCTAACAAACATGAATTTATCACCTAATAGTTTCTTCTAAATACATTGATAAATAAATGCCATCTGTTCCTTTTAAAATTATTTATGGGTAAAATAAAAACTATATCAAAAGAAAACAGCTTTAATTTTGAACCATAAAAATAAATTTATTTTTTATTTTGCTTTATGTATTACATATGATATATACCTTAGTATAATATATGACTGAAAGATTGTTAGAATTCCAAGTTCTGCTTTTATCAGTGAATGTCTATTACTTTATTTTTACAATGCTATTGAATCTTTGTAATTAAAAATCATTAATACCTAATATTCTACTAAATGGGTCAATCAAGATTAATTTAACATTTCCCCATTTTTATTCATTTAATGTATTTCTATTTGTTATATTCTTTGTTTATGAAGCTTTTTCTTTTTTCTATTATTTCTTTAGCTTAACATCTCATTCGATTTTGGAATAGACATGTTAAAAATTTTATGTCTGCTTCCCCTATGAGTTGCTGAATTGTTCTTTAAGATACTTTTTCTGATTTTCAATTATTTCAAACCTACATCAATTTTCTTTTGAGTTTTTAAATTCATTTTGATAGTACTTAAGCACATTAAAAAGACATTACCAGCATATTTAAGTCCCTAATGGAAATAAAGATACATAGAAGTATTTTGGCATGTTAATGATATTTACACAATTTTAGAAAAAAAAAACTGAGTCACACAAAATGGGAAGAATGTCAGATGCAAATTCATTGTAATGTATTCATCTCTAGTAAAGTGAATAAAAAATAATTTGCATTCCTCCATGCAGCTAACATTCCTGTATAGAAGATTGAAAATGCCTTTAAATAATTTTGAATACAAAAAACAAATAACATAAGGCAAGCATGAACACATATTTTGTAGGCTTTATTCAGTGTCTGTGCTTCATTCGTATTTTAACTCACATGAAACAAGGACTCTTCAGCACTGTCACTGAGGCAACTGGGTAGCAACATGGAAAAAATAAATTCAAACCAAACACCAACCTCCAACCTACATCAACACAGCCACACATGGATGCTATAATGAAGAACAGAAACAATAGGAAAGTCTGTAGAAAAAAACTTTCAAATATTGTCACTACTCTAGAGGGAAGACATATTTTAAAGAATTGAAACAATATGCACAAGGAGAAAAAAATAGATTTAATGGCACAAAAACATACGCATAACAAAATTTAACAAAGCCATAGATTATAAAAAGTTATAAAGAAAAAGTAGGAACATATTTGGAAAAAAAGTGTGATCCCTGTAAGATTTAATAAGAATTTGTAGTTTCATACAAATAAATAGCTGAAGTATAGTTCACACATAAAGAAGGACAAATAGCAAACGGACAATGGTAGATAGCCTTTCAGATTTCATTAGTGTCAAAGAAAAGTGAACTAAAATCAAAATGAAGATAAATAAAATGTGCTTCATTTATCTACTAAATAAGCAGATGTTTTGTTTACCTGGTGTTCTTATGTAATATTTATTTTGTGTATAATACACTGTGATGTTAGACAAGGTGAGTCACCTTGTCTTCTCCTTCAGAATATTTCTTCTTTAGTCTCCTACATTAATTTTTCCAAAGTAATGTCAGAAGACTTTGATTCTCCCTTTTATTTTCCAATTCATATATACCACATTAGAACAGTTCCTAGACAGCTCCTTTATGAGATTTTATCCTTCAGTATTTCTGCTGTCCTGAAGATTCTTCATTAACCAAACCACAACCTTTTGTTCTCTACTCTCCTCTCCTTTCTTTAGAGAGCAGATGTTGTTGTGTCTTTATGACAAATAGCCCTCCTCCCCCAAAGTGACAGCTAATAAAATATGATACCCTCCACAGTCTACCTGCCACAGCACCTCAGACAAGGCAAGAAGTTTCAGTATTAAAATATAATCGATGACACTGATATTTTTAGTGTTTACTTGGGGAGAGTCTTTCAAAGAGAACAGAGTTTTTCATCATCTTTCAAGTAATTTTAACCTATGTGTCAAGGAATGTATAGATGAATAGAATTTAGGGACTGATTAACAATTAAATTCTAGTGTTGGGAGAGAGGGAGAGAAGGAACATAGGAGTGGGTCAGGGAATAAAGAATTTAGAATGCACTGATCAAAACTATAGGCCTTAGAACACAATTACTTGTAAGGAGAGTAGGTGGAGAAAATGCATAATTCAGACTGTCCATCCCAAGAGTTCAGGTAATATGGTGCCTAAGATTGTCCTGAGGAATATGACCAAATCTACAGTGAACATGGTATTAAGACATTCTTGTAGAGATTCAAAATGGAAAGAGGAAAATACACAATTAAGTTTTGCTCTCCTGTTATCCATTCATTATTTTGTCTAGCAAACACAAATTGCACAAACTACTTAGATGACCCTGATTTCCTTCATGTATTTGAGTCCCCATTTCTTTTAACACTCTTAAATGTTGACAGAGTATTTGCTTATGGGCAAATGAGCAGACAGAAATGTAGAACATGATTCTGACATCTCTCCATGGATGAATACAATCATATCCAAATCCATACAAGATACTGTTTGCACTTTTTCTTCTGTAACAAGAAAAAAGAAAATAATTTCCATTCTTTTTATAAATGACTCTTTCCCATCTTTTGTTTCTGAAAGGAACACAAAAATGTGTTATCAGTATCATAATTCTGATACTTGCAAGAAAATACTGTCTTTCAATATAAGTTATTATATGTGTGTATTTCCAATTTGCCACCAAATTTTAATGCTTGGGATTTTTTGCTAGCTGCTTTTCAGTTAGGTCTTTTGGAAGGAGAAATAAATGACTTGTTACGGGGAATACATGGAGTTCGAACTCCACAACCAGAAACAAGTGATGAAAATGTGGAAGAAGATGGGTCCATTGCACAGAGGGAGATTGGCTCAGAGGATGTCTGCTCCATTTGTCAAGAGATGCTTTTAGAGAAAATGCTCCCTGTCACCTTTTGCAGGTAATAGGTTTTGCCTTTGGATTCTAAAAAATTTGTGAAAAATTCTAATTTAATATGTTTATAATTGATTACATTATGAGATATGTTGATAGAAAAAATAGGAAGCTTTACTTATGGCTGATTTATATTTTTTTAATGTTCCTTAGTTCCCTAATAATTTTGTAAGAGGCCCCGTTCTCATTCTAAATCGGTGTAGGCTGCATTTTAAGGGTGAAAACTAAAAGCATTGTGCCATAATTATTCTTCCTACACTCTAAGTAGTTAAAGTGGGATAGTTTGGGGGTTTTTTTATTTTATACATGTGAATAAAAGGCGTGGCTTAGGGTAGTTACATTGAGTTTTCTGAAAATAAAGATTATTTTACTTTGAAATTATTAAAAAAATTTCAGTTTTTGTAAAATTCTATTTCAAACCTAAAAATTCAAAATTTCACTTATGCAAAAATATTTATTGAGAGATTACACACACTATTCTTCATGGCACTTTAAAGTTGTATTTAGAAAGCTTAGGGGGCCATTTGCTACTGAACTCTTTTCTCCTGATTATTTACCAACATTTTCATCCATATTGAAGTTTTTCAGGTGGCTGCTTCTATTGTACACTGTAAGATCCCCAAATGTTGTTTCTCTCAGAAAATATTTCTTGAGTGTTTATCAGATAAAATATGATTTCTTAAAAATAAATAGTGTGGCATTCCCTGTTCTCAGAGAGTTGTTTTATCTAAAGAATAATTATCATTATAATTTTCCTGTGCTAAAGCTACATTCATTTTCATTTTTTGAGAAATACTTTTATGATGCAAAATCTTTCACTACTTTATTAGAAATATTTGTGCATGTGTTTGTAATCAAGCTACATCTAGAAAATCAATTCAGATCTCTTACAGGGAATAAAGATGTCGATACAGAAATTTTTATATACATAGATATTTGTAATATGTAAATATTTACAATGTATATATAACACTTTTCTGTAAGCAAATGGCAAACTCGAATTTTCTTTCCAACAGATTTGGCTGTGGCAATAGTGTTCATATAAAATGCATGATGATCTTAGCTAACTATCAAGATACAATATCCAAAACTTCCATGTTGAAGTGTCCTCTGTGCAGGAAGGAGTTTGCACCACTAAAAGTTATTTTGGAAGAATTCAAAAATTCTAGCAAACTTGTGACTCCAGCTGAGAAAGAACGACTGAACAAACACCTTGGAATTCCCTGTAATAACTGTAAACAATTTCCAATTGAGGGAATGTGCTATAAGTAAGTACCACCAAGTATCACCAGTATACTATATATATATATATATATATATATATGTTTATATGTACAATATATATGCATACATATTTAAACTTTTACCTTGGCAAAACTTTGACCATTAGAATACTATCATTTATCCTACCTTCTTCCTTCTTCATACATACTATTTGCCTCATATGATGACAGTTTATTTGGTATTTCAAACCAATGATTTGATTATGTTTTTAATTTGCAAAAGCCTGGGCTTTGCATTGTAGTCTAGGTTGCATAAGAAATAGCACCATCCGAGAAGCTCCAACATAGGTTTTCCAACTGGATATTGATTAGATCGAATTTTTAATCCTTTCCACCTTCAAATTGCAATGAGCACATGTTTTGCTTTCAGTCATCTCTTACACTTCAACAATAACAACAAAAGCAATATAATTACGAGCAAACAATTTTCATTGCTTTTTTGAATAATCTGTAAACTTTCCCACAATTGCCACAAATAAACATTAATTAATTGCTATACTTGGGAAATCATGCTTTCTTAAGTGAAAGTTAGCAATATATTAAGAAGAGAATTTTTTTTCAATCGTTTAAAAATTTTTTCTGAACTATGTTAGTTTGCTTTTCAGTTTCTCTAGAATTTTACATTATTATAAGCAGAATTTAAATTATATAAATATTTTAAACATTCACATAAAACTTTATCACCCCCAACAGAAATTATACCTTTCTCCTTTGAATTTAGTTCCCTGTTTTGTTATGTAGAAAACCATTAATGAAAGCCTTTATTGGAAAATGGCTGGCCTGAGGGGGCTCTGATGGAGCATTGTAACTTGAGGACGAAGGGCACAATTTTTACAGCCTTTTATTAGGAGGTGTTTAGCTGGTTTCAGGAATGTCTGTTCTAGGAAAAGGAAGGACTTGATTTTTGTTATTAGCAGCTATTGTTTGGGCAGTTTAAATGTTCTCAACAGTGGTGAATGAGAATAGTTAGAGGCTAACATCACATGTAGAAGAAGAGGCTAAAAAGGACAGCTGTGGGGATCAGGGACATATCAGGGCCACAGTGTACAGTTCTCAGTATTATAGTCATATATTCCTCAAACGGTTAATGTGTGGCTTCAGTGGATTACAAGAAGGATGGTCAAATCTTGCTTTTGAGTATTTCATTGATGACAGTGTGCTCCTCTGTTGCTGTGAGCTATCTGCCTGCTTTTTCATCATAGTAGGTTATTCTTCCAACAACCACCAAGTAAATTCATTCTCCAACATGTTGTCCCCTGCCCACTGCCATCACTTATCTTCTATGAATTTGGCTAACAATTATTCAGCTGTATCTCATTCCACTTTTTACAAATTTAAGACTACATTTGTGAAATTTGTGATCCCTTTGTACACCCTTTCCCTCAAGTACTGATATTTAGTTATTGGCCTGAAAAAATATTTCTAATAATTTTAGGGATAGATTGAGAAGGAAACAGGATAAACTAGAAGGCTTCTCAGTTCCCTCTTCATTAGAGGAGTATGATACAGCTATTTTATCTTTTAGAGGATTAGTTCAAAAATATGAGATACATGTTAAAGTATAGAGATGCTTACCTTTTCCTAGTCCATCATATTTTGACAAATTTTAGCATTGCACTAACTCTGATGTTCATTAAGAATCTTTCTTATGTTTATAAATAGTAATGCTGAATAAATTAGCACTTGCTTCTAAAATGACTGAGGTCATATTTTTTTTCTCATTTCTCATGGAAATAGACTTCTAAAAACCTCTGTTATTTGAATTATAAAATAAGCTTATTTAACTATTGCTCAGGATATTGGGGTTTTGGTTAACTTTACAGCAAACAAAATTCTTGAGGCAAAATATTTAAAATGGGCTTTTTGGAAAGTTTAAAGAATTAAATTTATAAATGGATTTTATTGAGACTTTATATATTTTCTTTTTACCATTCTTTGGGGAAAAGGAGGAAATACAATTGCATTTTCAAGAAATATACTGCTAGGGCTAGTAGAGCACTTGCAAGGCCCTGAGTTCAAACCCCAGTACAACCAAAAAAAAAAAATTGCTAAGTGTAACTCACACATTCATGAAACAATTGAAAAGCAATGCTAGATAATCAAATGACAGAACATCTAATAGGCTGTAGCCCCAATATCAATTTCAAGACACATTTGACTGAAAGCTAGGTTAGTCTGAAAAGGCATCATGAAGCAGCACGTGGTCTCCCAAATACATCCACAGATTTGTGCTCAGAACCCGAACATCAGATTACATCACAGAGGAATGATGGCTTCTCATCAGTTGACCTTGAAATAGGGAAGTTATACTGGCCTGGATAAAGCCAATGTGCTCTCCAAGATTCTTAAAAGTGAAGGGAGACCAGTTCTGACACCTGGGATGTTACTTCACATCCTCAGTATCAGTTTTGTTATTTGTATGATAGATACAATAATCGCTTCCTGAGGAAGGGATTGGGAGAAGCTAAAAAAAAAATGGTATAAAATACTCAGCAGATGACAGCTGTTGAAAAAGTTGTAGCTATTATTACTGTTACCATTATTTTGTGACTTCTTTACCATTCATGTGATACAGATCTTATCCTCCCCCACACATCATCATTTACAGTTTTTTTTAAATGGTCATTGCCTCAATGACAATTACCTATAGGTGTTATAATTTATAAATAAAGAGACAAAGTCACAGATGGGTTATGTTAACTTTTCCAAGGTCACACCATTCGGAAGAAAAATAACTGGGGTAAATGAGTTTATTCTCTGACTCCTTCAGGAAACAGTTACGAATGCTTTCAGGGCCATGAACTTTGCTAGGGGCTGAGCAGACTGTGATGATCAGAAATGGGCCTAAAATGGGCACAGTCAAATGAAGATACAGGCAGGTAAACTGATAACTGCAGAATACTGGATAAAGGGGACTGAGGGGGCAAGCAAAGAGACCATATGAAGTAGGTTAGCCTATTTAGGACATGTTTCAGAAAAAAAAAAAAAAAACATAGTTAATGATTGGAGGAAAAGACATCCTACTACATGGTAGGACTAGCCTGAGCAAAAGGCACTGGGGCTGAAAAGCAAAGTGTTTATAGTATGAAAGAGCATCAGTAAGGGTGAGACCAGACCATGAAGATCCCAGAATGCCATGATGGAGAGCTTGGTTTTTATTCTGAGGTCAAAAGGCAGCCAACTAAGAGGTCAAGACTGGAGCTACATTAAAGTTTTATTTCAGAAGACCAAAATATCTCTTGTTTCTTTCTCTGGATTTCCACAGGCCATGTGCAGACCCTCTCTCTGCCTGACCAAGCTACGTTGCCATTTCTGCTATCTGCAGCATCTCTTGGGAAGGAGGGCTCCTTTTTAGAGATCTAAACTGAGAGTAGGGCACAAACACTTTGTCTTTGACTTTCTCTTTAATCCTCCATTGGGTGCACATTCCCTTTGTCCAAGAAATCCAAGCAGTATCTCAAAGGTAGTCACACCTGTTTTAAAACTCTTGGCTCTTGTTGTTGCTCATACTTTTATGCATTACCTCAGTGCCAAGACAACTACTATTCTGCTATCATGTTCCTCATTTTCTCAATCTTAGAGCTTGTGGCATAACCATACATATGAACCTCCAAACCATTCGCTTAAGGCCACCTCAAAACTAGAAAAAAATTAATGCAATGCAACAAAGGAAAAAAAAGTGGAAGGAGGTAAGAAATTAAGAGATGCTCCATTGCTTACTTTGAAGATGGAGCAAAGAGTCACAAGCTGTGAAATATGAGCAGACTCTAGAACATGGAAAGGACTAGGAAATGGATTTTACCTTAGAGCCTAACAAGTAACACAGCCCTGTCAATCCCTTGCTTTTAGCTCACTGAGACTCATGTCAAACTTCTGTCCTCCAGAACTGAAAAATAATAAATTTGTGTTGCTCAAGCTGACAAATTTGTGGTAAATTTTATAGCAGCAATAGCAAATTAATACACAGTGTCACTTGAAATGGGCCTTGTCATGTCTGGATTGTTCCCAGAAAGTTGTGGTCAAATTGATTCACCTAAAAAATCACAGTAATTTAGTTTTTTTCTTGAATGCTTTGGTGTGTTGCATTTTTAGGTGCACTGAATGTGTAGAATATCACTTATGCCACGAATGCTTCAACAGCTGCTGCCATCTCTCTCACACATTTACATTTCGTGAGGTAAAGTATTCATCTTGAATCTAATTCAGCATTTGTATTTGTTTTATTGTAATAGTAAGTCTAAGAATATGAAGATTAGTTAACACTCTGCAATACAGCTGATTGATTTTTAATAAAAATCTAAAAGCTATAATTTTAGGGGAACTCTTGCAGGAGTACACAAAGCAACCAGTTCTTACACTGATAACTTATAAAAATCCAACAAAATAACAAGCACCTGCTGACATTATAAATAAATCTCGAAATGTGAATTGTAGCCATCAAACTTGAAAATCAGTTTTAAAAGATCTCAACCTTGTAAGCTGACTTCTCATAACATTACTGACAACCAATTTAATGCTTGCCTACCTGCCCTATGTTCAACCTTGAATAACACAAAAAAGTAAAAGTAATGTCATTATAGTAACTGTGCAATAATACATGAGATTCACTACTAATTTGTAATTTTTAATGTGGTTAAGCAATAGGTATGTTTAAAATATTTTCACTTATTATTTATATACAGTGTACTACTTGATTTACAAAGCAACATCTACTTTTTACTTATTACAGAAGAGAAACCAAAGATGGAGATCACTAGAAGAAAGCTCAGATGGAGTAAAATATCTAGAAGATAAAAACAAGATAAAAGAAAAGATGCCTTGTTTTCAGGAAAAGCAAGGGTGAGGTTCTCAGTAAAACTTACATTTCTTACATGATTAGGGATATTTGAATAATTTTTCAGTTTGACGGTTTTATTTACTCCTTACTATGTTCAGAGCAGTTATCAAATACCAGGTGACATTGTAGCGTGCAAGTGAAGACCAAGGTGGTGCAGTCAAACTGCTTGGGTCTAATCCTACTGCAATCACATGTTGTCTAACTGGCTTTAGAACCAGGTGCTTCACTTCTCTCTATCACATTTTCCTTATCTTTAAAATGGAGATAAAGGGAAAAGCCAGCTGCATAAGACTTTTTGCCGTACAAAATAAGTTAATACACTAAGTAAATATTCAAATAATGTTATTAGCATTACTATCTCTATCAGATTTACTGAAAGCACAGTAATTTTCTCAGCAATCAATCACCTAAGTAAATGTGAAATTAAAACTGACATAAGTTATACAAAGATATGGGGGTTATGATTTGTCTTTGTAATAACTGGCTTCTGGGAGTCTTTGTTGCTTAATTCCCCTCTCTGTACCACTGTACTTCTTCATACCCTAGAGCAGTACTGCTGAGCAAAACGGTCATATTTCAGAACAATGACTGTACTGTTTGTAGTGGACAGTCCTCCAGAACTTTTGTCATACTCCTTAACTATGTATGTTTTAAAATATAAACAAAAGATAAAGATATGGGATAAAATTGAAATATTTTTTAAAGTTTTGATGAATTAACCAAAACCTATGTTTGTTCTACCAAATTTATAGATATACATATAGTATAGCCCTGCACCCACAACACACATACACATACACATTCACACAATATATGTAAGTTTCTATCCAAACCTCAATGGATACTTAGACCATGTGCTATATTCTCACACTATGGTGCCAGAGCTCTTGAGGGTCATAAATGAGCCTATTGGGAGGCTCCCACTTCCTCAAACCAGGTATCACATTTCATCCTACTAGAATAACTTGTGGAACTAGGGGTTGGGTAGGAGAAATTGGAGGTGGAGAGAACATTTGAAGGAGGAGTGCATTCTATGCAGAGAAAATGGAGTAAACAAAGGAAAGAATTTCAAATTTTCAAAAGTGGGTAACCTAAAAGAACACTAAAAATATGTGTATTTATTGAAATCAGAAGACCTTGATAAAAGCAATTTTGAAGCATTATGGGCATATATTTTATATATGTGCCCACATAGAAATGTGTGCTTTTATGTAGAATATATGAGAACTTTGTCCTGAATAACTTTTGAATAATAGAAATAATTCTGATATTTTAGCCAAGCTTTTGTCTTTAAATATTTGTTTTACCAGTTTTAATGGCATATTGGTTAATTCACAGAAAATCATCTTCACTATGTTGGTTAGAGTCACTGTCATAGTCTATCAATATTGTGTAAGCATATACTCCAAGGGAAAATTAATTTCCTCACAATTATCTAATTTGCCATACTAGTGTGGAGTATTTCATGTGACTTAATGTGCACCTCACTTCCTATCAACTGACAAAGTGAATTAGAACATATTTTTCTAAACACATGTCTAAATATTGGCTCAGACAAAAATAACTTCAGTATATGGTCTTCATCAAATTTTATTGGGGTTTCATTGACATTAGTCTATTTATTTGATGCGGCTAACTAATCACACTTTGCTCTTTATGGTTGGGTCCGTCATGCCCAGGATCAGTACAGCAGATTTTAACTCTCGAATGGGTGAGATTTATTATTGTCGGTTCAGGAAGTTCAGTTGCATTATTTATATAGATCTGTGCTATGGATGACTTTTGGCTCTGTAATCACATATGAACATTCAGGTCTCTGCTTATTTTCATTCAGCCAGGTTCGCACACCAACACATGTTATAAAGTCATTGCCTTTCTCACTGATCACAAAGAAGAGTAAACTGCTTGCTCCAGGGTTCCAGTGTCGGCTTTGTTTGAAGTCATTTCGTCCTGGTCAATACGTGAGACGGCTCCCATGTTCTCACAAGGTAAAATTCACATCTTTTACTTTTCCTTTCCCTATAAAGCCAGTTTTCACAAATGAAATAACAAGCAAAGTTTCTCTTTCACTTTTTGTATGTACTGTGTGCCAAGATGTTCAGATTACACAGAATACATAGACAAGCTGCCACAGAGTACTGAGTTGGCAGCTCTGCCCCCCTGATGTGTTCTTACTGATTAGGAGCCATTTTTGTATATATGATTGTGAAAAGATAAACCACACTTTTAAGTTTAGTTCTTTTGTCTACCTTAGTGCTCTGAAAAGACCAATCGAATACCAACATTTTGCTACGTGTTTTTACAGCTTTTTAGATGAAACAGAAGTGCATAACTTAACAATTATATCATATGAACGCACTGGAATCCAAGTCTAATATTGCTTAATGATGATAGTTGATAAAAGTCTTTTCCAGAAACAGTTGTTTCAATAAACATTTATGGTTTCAGAGTCATACTTAAAGTGGTTGACAGTTTCTTTTTATTACCAAAAATTTGATTTACTTTATATCAGTTCAATTTTCAACTCTAGTTGTTTATAAATTTTTAATAATTTCATTTATACCATCATGACATTAATATCTTGAATGAATAGTAAGCTTGAAACAAAATTATAAAGATGATATCCATATGAAGTTTTTCATTGTAGTGTTGAAAGTGAAAATCAGTTTGTATATCCATGATATTTATAAGTGAGCTTCTCCTAAATATTTTCATAAAATATTAGTTAGAATTGCCTTCCCCTTTTCAGGGAGAGGGTGTTGGTACTGGAGTTTGAACTCAGAGCTTCACACTTGCAAGGTAGGCTCTCTACTGTTTGAGATATGCCTCCAGCTCGTCTTCCACTTTTACTTAAATTTTAATACACAGTTATGAAGCTATGAAAACTTAGGTAAATGTCAATTAATAAATATGATAATAGCTCTAATTAACATAACTTTTTTGTCTTCTTAAGTTTCATAGGAAATGTATTAACAATTGGTTATTCCACAAATGCAATTCGTGTCCTATTGATGGACAAGCTGTATATAACCCTTTAATCTGGAAAGGCATGGCAACAAGTGGACAAACACATCAGTATTCCTCCAAAATAGACATCACTCACCTGTCAAAGCAAGAAGAAATAAAACTTTTTATTCCTGGTACTGGATTAGTCTTAAAGCAAAATAGACTTGGAATTCTACCTACCATACCACAATGTAATTCAAAAAATTCAAATACACCACAAACTCCAACAGATACCTATCAGAATGTAACAATAGATGATCTGTGCTCTGTCAAATTAGATGATTCAAATTCAAGAAAATTAATCTATGAATACAAAGTTAGTCAACATTTCCCCAGGTATCTTCAAGATTTACCCATTGGATCATTTGGGAAAACAGCATCTCAAACATTTCTTCCTTCCATTGCTCCTAAGAATATTATCTGTCCCAGTGGAATGGACAGCCTTTCTATCAGTGAAAAAACCCACACTGGTCAAAGTCAAAAGATGACCAAAGGCTGTAAACACATTAACCACAATCCAAAGAAGATTCTTGATACTAAAAAGCGAGAAGACAACAGGAAATCAAATACCTTATTTCTAGAGGATTTAAATCTTACTGTCAATGGGGGTACAACTAAACTTAGTTTGCCTAAAAGGCATATTAATTGCATGGGGAAAATCAGACCAAAATGTGTTCATCCTTCAAGACCAACTGTGTGTCACTCCCTACAAATGAAAAATACTGTGCTATCTTTAATAATGGAAGGAGTTCCATTATGAAGAACTATTCTTGATAACCATCAGAAAATATTTAAATACTGAATATAAAATTTTATTTGTAGAACATAAAAAACATACACATTTGACAAATGTATATAAAATTCTCAGTTGTCATTTTGCCTACTTGTCTATGAATAAGTTACTATGCATGAAAGAAAATTACCCTAGTATAAAACAAAGCACTAAGTGCGTTGATGAATAATTATTAGAGCTTTCATATTATTTTACACTGATTAAATTTACTTAAAGATAGATTTTTTCCCCTCTTTGAGTCACTATTTTCAAATATTCCTTTTGATAACATAACTTACTGGGATTATTTCCAGGTAACTGCATAAGAGTCTGAATTTTTCTGGTACTAATAAAATCATCACAACCCCACAGGAAAATCCAAATGGTGGTTTCTTTTTTACTTTCTATTTTATTTCCTTGAAGTTCTCTTATTCATGAAATGAAACTGAAATATAATACTATGAACTATGCTAAATTTGTAATGGTTTACCAATTTATTTTAAGGAAATTTATATTTTATAAGTACTACCAAATTTCATTACATAATCATTATTAAAGAACCTGTTCCTTTTTTGTACCTGCTCTATTTTTAAAATAATCATTGCTTCAAAATGATCATTTGAAAAATAACAGGATTAAATTCTTATTTTTACATTCTGTGACTCAGTGGTTTTTCAAACATTTTTAAATTATTTATGATATCATTGATTTTTATTATCTATAACAAGCAAACAAACTCACTATTTTCTGTCATGATGATAATGGAACACAGAGTTCTGTGAAACAATTTTGAAGACAGAAAAGTTCTTTTAAGCAGCATTTGAATTTAAAGAAATGATTAAGTTGAGGTTAATCTAAAACAGAAATTAATTAAAAAAATGTAGTTGAGATATACAAATGGGTGACCAAATGAATTTGTCAGTAATTCCAGATTTTATCAGCCTAATTATTTTGAAAAATAGGGTTAAGGAAACTGCAAAATAATTCTTCAATTAACCAAATGATATTATTTTCTAATACATTTATATTCTTTTTAAAAAATCATCCTTCAGAAAAAGATAAAATGCTTCAGAAAGCCAAACTATGAAAGAGTAGTAAGATTAGTTTAGTTGAGAAAAACAATACTGTAAAATTCATTTTTATAAGACAGATAAAATGGGGACACTATCTTATACTAGTCAAGTTTATTAATTATCATGCCCCAATTGTTTTAGTTTTTTTATTGCAGCAATAGATACATAATACAATTATTACAAAAGGAAAATAGAAAGTATCTATTATAGAAGCAATTCCTTATGACTACATGAGCAAACTCTGCCTAGAGTTCAGGATGCAAATTAGGTGACTCAACAAGGAGAAGTTTGTCAGTTTTTTTATTTGTAAGAAAGAAAAAATGGGTCAAGATTATTATAACACAGGCTCAAGGCAATAGTGAGTGATACAACAGGCTTTCCAGGGTCTAGAAGAAGATGGAAGGTTGTGGACAAGCTGATCTGGGGTAGAGGCATGTGGAGGACATAGGGGCAAGGACACTGCCAAAAACTCCACCCCGTAGTAACTAAGGGCAGTTGCCATACGTTTTCAGTTTGCTCCAACATACCCAGCTGACTCATCCAGAAACAAAGCCCAAGTTTTTTGTTCCTCTGTCATCTGGTCATGGATGTGAGCCAAAGGAGGGTCTGTTGTCCACCACTGGTAGATAAACATGAGGGCTGGGTTCTTGGCTCAAGCAGTCTAACTTCTGATACTGCTCATACTCAGGACTGGATGTACCAATTCCACATTTAATGGACTACTGCTGAGCCCAAAAACTGTACAATGCAATGGATCTGATAGACCCCAGCTCATAATAGGGATTTGTGAGTTACTGATCAATTGGTAACCCATGCTCAGGTGCCCTATATCCACAATGGCATACCATGAATTGTTTCACAAAAACCAAATTTCATAACCTTCTTCCCAAACCTCAGGGATCATCATGTCATTTCCCTTCTTGGACTTTGCCAGAAGTGCTACAAGTCATTTTTACCAATCACAAGTGCCTCTAATATCATATGGTCTACTGTGTTTTATGGCCAAAGTAACAGAGCTGCTTATACCCCAGTCAAACTGCCACCAGAGCTCTTTCCTCCACTGGGTCCCACCAAAGCTGGAAGCTATGGGTGTCTCCCAGTTTATGAGCCACGATAGTATTTCCAGGTGTAAAATACTGGAGTGTGATATCTACAGAACTCAAAGATATCTACCAAGTGTTAAGCTTCTTTCCAGTAATAAGTACAAGAGGGGATCATTTGTCTTTTCTTTTGGAGTGTATATCCTGGTATGCCCCTCTCTACAGGAACCCTAGAATTTTAATAATGTGAATTCCCTGTGAATCTTTCAACCATTATCTGTCATTCTCTATAGCACATCTGTTTTTACCAAGGACCATGATCCCAATTCCCTGCTTATTCAGTCCAATTAATCTAACAGTATTGATGTAGTGATTTTGTGTTATGTTCTGCAAGAAGTTCAAATAGGCAAAAAGTGTTAATATAATCCTAGGGTAAAAGTGTAAGTGTATATGACTGCTGTCCCACATGGATGAGAACTCTTTCCAAATCTTTTCTTACTAGAATAGAAAGGATGCATTCCCATACTAATGGCTTTATCTCAGGTAACTGAAGATGTGTTGATTCCCCTCTAGCAAATACACTACACCTGGTGCACTTGCCGCAATAGGGGTTACTATTTGGTTGAGTTCTCAGTAGATAGTTCTTGTATTCCAGGGTTATTCCATCTTTTGGAAAGGCCATACTGATTAACTGAATAGAGATCTGAAAGGGACCAATGCTCTGTCATCTCTGGATTCTTAAGGGTAACACTAATGTCTACCATCCACCTAGGAATACAATGTTGTTTTTTAATTTATTACCTTGGCTAAGTTTGGAGAAAAATCTAAGAAACTTCCATTTGCTCCCCACAGCACACACACAGATACACACACACACACACATACACACACTATAATTACCTCTAACCCACAGGCCCAGGACCCAATGTTCTCATACCAACTATTTAGTAATATACTTTCAGGGACTGAGGAAATAACCACTAAAATAGAATTTGAAGTAATACTGCCCCCATGATAAGCCAAATGTTTCTCAGGACTGTTTTTTACCACCTGGTCTCCATAAGCTCCCAGTGTAATAGAGGGACAAAAATGGCGCTTCAAGATTTTGAATGTTACTGTCAATTCACATTGTGTCCACCATTCTTCAAACATTTGGCTATCCCTCTTTTCCCAATGTATAACACTAGGATGATCAACTCATCAGTTTCCTTAGGACTTGCCCAATTTTAAAAATCAATTCCCAAGTTCAAAGAAGCCCCTTTGTTCTTAGTAAGCCAGAAAGGTAAACTAACAGCTACTCAACCAAATGACTTGTGGGGAAATTATTAAGTGTATTTGCCATGGTGTTACAATTTTCTCCTAAAAATTACCTCAGGGCCAACTTGGCACTGAATTGACTTTTAACTGATCCTTGGTCTTGCATCTTTGATTTCCTATGATGAGGCAAGCTAAATATAGTAAACTTGTTGGATTTCCATCTATTTTGTTCTTGTAATACTTTATTTGATTAACTATCTCCATCTTTGTGAGTCAGTCCTCTTGGCTGCTACTCTACCATCTATTACAGTGATTATATCCACCTGTATATTGGTACTTAACTGCTATCCACTGGCCTTTATTGGAACTTCATCCTATTACCTGTGTTGGTATCAGTGAGCCTAATACTAAGAGTCTCTCCTACACCAGCACATGGCTATGGCTTTGGTATCTGTTGTATTTTATTACAGTGAACATAGTCATCTGGTAGAACTCCTGGCCTCACAAAGCCTATTCAGTCTAGCATGCCCACTTCCACGGGTTTTCAACCCATCTACTATTTACTACAGTATTCTGGTATTTCAACTTTGCTTTGCGCTAGCCATTCCCTTTTCATGCTTCTAGGAATCATCTCACACCGTCTTGCACCATCATCTGGAGTCCTTATCAAGTAATTAAATCGTACATCATGAGAATACTCTCAGGCTGGTGGAGTGGCTCAAGTGGTAGAGTACCTGCCTAGCTAGCATAAGGCCCTGAGTTCAAACCCCAGTATCACCTCTCACAGCAAAAAAAAAAAAAAAAAAAGGAATACTCTCAATTCAGTGAACTCTTATCTATTCAAAAATTCAAAAATGTTCCCTATTTGAATATTTGCTGTCAGAATTCAGACCCAAATGTTCTTTTCCAGTACCTAACAGTACATAATGGTAGGATTTGCACTTCTTTAAGATATAATACCCTGTGGCCCTATTGGAACCAGCACATCCCTGGCTGAGCTATGCTATGAATTAGATGTAATTAGATACCTAGTGGCTGTAACAAGAGGTAAAGGCAAATCCTTGAAAGGAGCACATGATGATTTTTGGGGAAGAGGACATGGAATTGCCTTCAAGCAAGGGGGGATGGCCTGGTTTTGCATTTTCAGAGAGTTCAGAAGAGTCTGTGGCTCAAAATTTTTACGGATGTCACCCAAATGTTCTCTTTTGAAGTGTACAAGTCCCTTTTTTTTTTCCTCCCAGCCAAGTTCTGATCTAGTCATAACCTTCCTGTACTGGGTAAGCATTGAAACTTACCTGGTGCTCTACCACACCATTAAAGCCTGGTCCTCTGTTTCCTCTGCCTTCCTGATGCTCAGGAGTGTTTCTATCAGGAAAATTTATTGACTTTCATACTTGGTGATCAATTGCCCACAGCTTTAAATTATCTTTTTTCCAAGGTAGCAATGGGCTTAACAGTAGTCATCCATTCCCATTATCATTATTGTCACTAATGGACAGTGTTTCAATAACTGGACATCCATTTATGCACAGACATGTCTGTGATCCACTTAGCAGAGACAGGGTCCTTGTTGCAGCTATGCTGAGAGTGTTCCAGCTCCAAATACTAAGGTATCAAC